GAAAATTTGAAAGTTATTTATTTATTTTTATTGACCCACATTTCTAAGATAATACAGCCGTTTGGTAACAATTATTAACATATTACAGTACTATACAGCTTAATTCTAGACATTTGCATTGATGTTGATGTCATTTTAACTCTTCCTAAATATGTTTATAAAGGATTAAAAAACTATTTCAAAAAGTGTAACAGGTACTTAGTATTAGACTTTATGTAACATGTGTATTTGATAATCGAATAAATCTAGTATTTTAAATTTTTAACCCCCACAATAAAACTTCAATCCGTTCACAGACACAAACGAATTAAATCTTCCAAAACAACAGAGTAATTGTCTTCAGCTATAAAGAACGATAAATAAAAGACAACGTTTAATTTTGTCTTGACATTCCAATTCTTCTGAACCATAATTCCATATTTGATGATTGGAATGCGCCTTCCCTTGAACAAGTGCGTACCGTGTGGCTTTGTTGCTGTCATTCCCTCGCAGTGGGAAGAAATTCCAGTGGTGGTTTATGTCGGCGGGGTATTTGGGCCAACGCGCCGATGTGTTTTGACAAACTTCGTCATTTCCATTTTGGGTGACTACCTATAGAGAGACGAAACTGTTATACCAGTATACCATAAATTCGTTTTCATAAAATCCAAAATAAAACCCTTTCCTTATTTTAAAAACCTTTTGTTGATGTTCTTTTTCTTTTTCTTGGGTCCCTTTTTGCTTTTAGGCATCGGAAAAGGGTTTTGTTGTACCCAATTTATCTCTTTTATGAATGTTTTCATTATATCATATTATAAACTCGTAATAGTATTTGGAACAAATCTTCAAGAACCTCAAGATTCTTAAGTCTCTAGAATCACCGAAAGTAAACGCAAAATGGGGTAAAAATATAGAACTAGCAGACCAAAACTAGTACCTTTCACTTTTATTCTGGATTCATTCTTAAATGGCCAAATCAGTTCAGTTGTTTCTGTTTTATTTTTCTTTATTATACTTTAATAAGAAAAGAGCTTATTAAGTTTACTATAGAAATAGAAAGATGTATGACTATTTTTTCCAATTTTTTACCACAAACAACCCAATATAAACAAAAAGTAAATATGCTTCCCTGTTTTTTATTATTAAATTGTTGTTATTATTATTATTTAGGAAGAATTTTATTAACCAATGTATTTAAATAGTCCCACAAAATTTCAAAAAAGAATCTATATAAATTAAAAAATATTATTTAACACGAATATTCAAGAGAAATCTAGTGAATCATCTTCAACATCGTTTGGTAAATTTTTAACGAACAATCACTCCACAAGAATCTTCACGGAACCAGATGACCTAATAGTGAAATTTGATATAAAAACCAATGACTATTTTTTAATCGACACAATTCCGGTGCTCTATGAATAAGAAATAAAAAATTCATGACGTTGTCTCGGGGATATAACACGATGTTCATGTTGAGCCCCCCCTCTGTGAAAAGGTCTAAAGCTACCTTTTTACTTTACGTCAAGACTTCATATTTTCGATAATCGATTTCAAAGATAAAATCTACATTTTTTTCGTAGAACACCAGTCATGTATTTATGCTGGAGTAACATAAACATCGAAAGGGTTTTTTCTTTGCATTTTTGTTACTGCTTACCAAATTCGAAGCAGGAGTCTTACGAAACTAATAAATATCTGGTTTGATTTGTAAACTGGTGGTGCCAATGGTCTAGGGTAGTGACATCTATAAAATACAGGGTAATTCAAAATAAATCGTTTTTATTCATCAAGTTATAATATACATGTGAAAATGTAAATGGGGGAAAGATGAAAAGATGAAGTCCAATTTGCGTCGATTTACAACTTTAAAAATAAGGTAAAAGTATAATAAAACAAAAAATATATAAAAAAATAAAAATACTGTTAAAAATTACAGAGAGCTTGCATTGGGTCGAGCAGGAAACGAATAATGTTCAATAATGATTAATTAAACTTTATTTTCTTAATTTTTTGTAATATATCATTTTAAACTTTAAAATCTTCTTTATTTTTGCTCTAATTTTTATGTATTTTTTCAGGAAATACCCAATAATAACAAAACCTGCGAAAATAATTTATTTCATTAATTTATTATTTATATTATTTTTTTTTTATTTATTCAACAACTTTTTGTAAACTTTTCTAGTACCCTTGGGTTGTTTTGCTTCGTCAATTGTGGGACCCTATGTAACATTTCGAATACCTTTCAGGTAGATAGGTACTCTCATTTCATTGTTCCTTTTGGTGTGCTTGAGGTTATATTGCCTCTTTTGTATGTCTTCAAGGCCCGTTTATCAGATTGACACAGGAAGTGTGCCAAATATTGATTTAGTGACCATGTAGACGAAAGAATATTTCCTTGAACAAATATCCATTAACAATGTGTAAGAGATACATTATTTTTTCCATACCAACGGAAATAAGAACAATTTATGTGGTGTTACATACAGTATGGTTGATTTTTATTTTCGAACGTGCGTTTTACTAGCAATTCCTTTTACTCGTGACGTCATTTGTGAAGGCTATAAAGATATCAATGATTTTTTAAAAAAATATGTGGTTCATGCGTTTCTAAATAAAACATATAGGATTTAATTTTGGAAATTGTGCTTGAATAATAGTTTTTCCAATTCCAAACCTGTGGATTTAAGAATTGTATTACCGATAAGTATATTAGAGCAACACGGTGTTTTTGATATATATGGAATCGAATTACATTTGTCTTATCACCATTAAAGAAAATTATTATTAGCGAACAATTGATTCCTAGATTATTCAGATCTATCAAAAATAAAAACAGCTGTGTGATCTTCACACTAGCGGCTTATCTGTAAGTATTTTTAAAGGTGTTGTTTTATTTAACTATAATGAAGTTTATGAATCTAATTTGTTTTATATTTTGTTTCAGTGTCTAAGACCATTCTAAAACTACTTTAAAATGGTCTATTTTGTACCCGACTGTAAATACTATGAAGTAAGAAGTAAGCAAAACATTTGTAAATTTTTTGTTTCCCACAAAATCAGTGAAAAGGAAAAATTTAATTATTCTGATAAGGTAACTACTTGACATCATTATGAAAATGGAAATGTACGTTTGATAAAGATAAAGAGACATATGGTTTTTCACTTTAAAAGTCTGAATCGGAAAAATAAATCAACCAGTTAATTTAATGTACTCATAACGAGAAACTTTACCTAAGAAATGGTATGTACATTTAAATAGTTTATATAAAGTTAAGTTTGCCTGTAATTATTAATCGTATTATCCTCTAGCCTAGATTGTGTGTTGCATACAAACCTGAAATCTTCTATTTGAATGACATTTTTTTATTGCCTTGTTTGTTTAATTCAGTATTTTCAAAAATATTAGAAGTATCGGTAATTTGAATCACTGCAGGTATTAGATAAAAATAAGGCTGTTGGTAAATTAGTTTACAGTCGATAATAAAGTATGTCTCGAAAAGAGCAATAAGTATCAAACAAATTTTGATTTTAATTAGGCACTTAACAAGTCACATCCCACATATCTTCATGCTTCATACTATCTACAATTAAACAATAATTTAAAAATACAGATGAAGCCGATTTACCTATTTAGACAAAATTACTATTATTCTGTTATTTATTAAAACACATTTTTTTTAATAAACATGAACATGCAAAAGTCAGCAATGAGTGTAAGACAGTAGCGAGAGCAAGAATACTTTGGAATGTGCTGTGAAATACATTTAGAAAGGGTCATATGGAGAATTAAGTGTGATAACATTTTACGATATGTATCTCACTATTTTAGTTCACAGATTTCTGTAAATGGTCAATTATGTGCTGCTATTTCAAACTTTTAGTATTTTCAACGTATTAAAAACAAAACAAATATTACACTAACTAAAATATTAATTTAATAATAGTTGTAGTGCTTGAAAACAGTATGATGTTAATAATAATAACTACACTTAATACAAACTCAAAAAATAAAAAAAAAACAGCAATATTGACTTTTGTGCAAATGATAAAATTATTGGAAAAAGTGAACATCCATTTTAAATTACCACAAGCCGCCACTATTTAAACTCTCATACGCAACATGGCTATGACAATTTCTGCCTTTCGCCTATTTAGGCAATATAACATACGTTGGTGTATGTTTGGTTGCATATTAATAATACTAGTGTAGATCTTTTTATTTATTATATCGCTAAAACTAATTCCTAATATTGTCACAAATTCTAATTAATACATTTTTCCAAATTTCATAACTTTGTATATTCATGTTTAATATTTAATTCATTTGCAATAGGACAGTTTACCTTTATTTCAAATTGTAGTAATATAGTAATCCTGGACCCAAGCTCGCCTTCAATAGGTACAAGTCGAAGAGCAAAAAATTTTAGTCTAATCGACAATGGGGTCTATTCTGTAATGTTATGGTTAATTTTAATTTCTAGGTTAAAACCTTATTTATACCTGTGACGTTTAAATTTAATTTTGTGTTATAGCTATTTTATAACCAATTGCAGTTTTAAAAGCAGGAAAAAGCATATATTTGACCCATAATCATTACAAGATTTATTACAGACATAAATTTATAACTTATAAACAAATAATACAGAATACAAAATTAAAAATAACATCCCGTTATTTTTATGATCCAAATTTTTATAGAGTAGACCCCTAAATCCTATCAAATATTAACCCCAAAGGCCTACAAAATCTTTTGGTGATCCCAAATTACCTGGGGGAAGAAATTTTAATTTTTTTTCCTCATTAAAAAAGGAATCATTACAGGATGTACGATAATAATTTCAACCACCGTTAGTTGAATTTTTCGAACATCATCGTATACAAACTGCTTATTGCCACATACGCATAATATCCTTAATATGCGAGAAAGAGTAAACCACGCTTTATCAACGTTCATATCGGTAGACGTTAACAGTTAATAACACGTTTTCTACTTTTGAAATAATAGCAACGATGCCCTCTTCTTCTCTCGCTGGTCCTCAACTCTCTAGATGGCGCACAGGTGAAAACAGATGAAGAACGTTTTAACAGCTACTTGCTTAGTCGATGTTCTACTGTTTAAGGCTAGAGTGTGCGCGCGCGTTGCAGGTGACAAACAATACGAATTATTACGTTAAAAAATTCAAAAATAACGAATTTGTGACTGTTATGGAGTATGGTGACATGAGGTATGTAAAAAAACTTGACAGAAATGCCAAAATAGACACTGATTAACTATATAAAGTGCTTTAATCATTAACGAAACTATTTTATCTACAAATTTACAATGCAAACTTCATCAGATAAGACTCCTAGTGATGAAAAACAACAAATGTCACCTAGTAAATATACAGAATTAGACAAAAACATAGCTACAGCTTTGCTGCAAGAGAATTTTATACAAAGATCGATACAAAATGTAGCTTTATCGTTACAAAATGCTATGATGAACTCATTACAACAAGCTGCTTTTCTGCCAGTCAGTTCAGCTGCAGCTGCCGCTTTAAATCTACAAGCTCTCGAGTCGTACTTAACGTTACAAAGACTTACAACAGTTTCGGCTAATTCTTCAAGCGGGAAAATTGACATATTAAAAATAGCGGCTAGTACCGCGAAAATAACAGAAGAAACCGTCGGAACTAGTGAAGATTTGGTCGCGAATACGAGTTTAACTGAAGACGTAGATCTAGCCGAAGAAGTTGAAGAGGATTTAGCACTTTTAGATAACGACGAAAGTTTATCAGTACCTTCATCTCCTATCGATACTTCATATCCGAGTTTGATACTTAATTCGATGTTTCAAAATCCGGAAAACTTGGCGTTGGTTGGATCTACGACGGCAGTAACGACTACGACAGGAGCTGCGGCTGTTCGACAAAAAGGTGGAGCCAGACCGAAGAAGCAATTTATTTGTAAATTTTGCAATAGACATTTTACGAAAAGTTATAATCTACTGATACACGAACGGACTCATACTGATGAACGGCCCTACTCCTGTGATATTTGTGGAAAAGCTTTTCGAAGACAGGATCATTTGAGGGATCACAGGTAAATTTATAATTCAGTTTTTACCTTTCTTAGTTTAGTTATAGATTACAGTAGATATAACAATAGGATAAAAAAACAACACACAATGGCCATATTTTGATAAAATGGATTTAATTTTGTTTTTATTTAGAGTATGGGTATTTTATTTCTATTATTATTGACATTGGCATGTAGATACGTAGTTTTTGCTGTGTGTTTTATTCAATCAGACCATTTTCCTTATCGAACTCTGTTGATATTTTAACAGCTCTAAATAAAGGTATTAACTTAAGTTTTACTAATTTTTCTAAAGCCTTCAATACACCTACACCCATTTGGTAGAAATTCTCATAAATCCTTCATATTATCCTCAAATACCTCCATACATCTTCACATTATATCGCTTTATAATGTGCCAATATATTAGAAGTTGATATACAGTGTGAAAAATAAGTTTCCTTTGGTGTATCATAAATTTACTTGTCACCTTTGCTTGACTTAGAAATTAGATATGTACATAAAACCATCTTAAGACAGCATACGTAGTTTATAAGAGTTTTAAAATCAAGAAAAAACTTTCTTCGGTACTTTTATACATATTTTTTTTAATATTTTTCTGTTTAATTCAATTGTTCGGTCTGTCGATATGCTAATGTATCTGTAACGACTGCCAATAACTAAAAAAAAATATATTTTAACGAAATTTGTTAGGTAGGTTCCATTTGGGGGTCTAGTTGGATCTATTTTAATGAGGTTAAAAGCAACTCCTCTGTGGTGAAGAAAATGGGGGTGGCTTTTATAAAATTATGCATTTTATCACAAAGCACGTCAAGATTTTAAAAATATACTAGTATATTTTTCCAGGGACGCACTAAAGGGGTTAAAAAAAGAAGAGGGGGCGATGATATAAATTATACATAAATTTAGATAGTTGCCTGTGCTCACCTATTTTTGTATATATTTATTAACTTTATGATATACAGCGTGCTCATATAGCTGGGTACATAGGGAAAACTTTTTATTTTTCGTTTCAATGAAAATGTTCAAATAAATTAACATTTTTGGAAATGCCCCATTCGAAATATGTAGTCAATATACAGGATGTACGAAAAATAGAAAAATATAACGACACGAAATAAAGTTTTGAGTTAAATTTTGAATCTTTAAAAAATAAACACTTTTTTTAGAATCATTCACTATTAGAAAAAAATAATTTTTAACAATATTTAGTCATAGTTTACTAAAGCCAATATAAAGAAAAATTGTTTCCTTTTTTAACAATCTATAATTTTGTTGTAGATGACATTGAAATCTGAGTAAATTTTAAGTTTTCTAGTTTAAAATTTTTCTATTTTCAAGATTCCCTCTAATAGAGCTACAAGTTTTAAATAGGCCATGTGCGTATATTTTTATGCCCTTCCTATTGGACCTCAGTATTTCATTCGTGCAGACGCAAAAATTTTCTTAAAACTTTTTTTCATATTTATGTCTGGTTATCTGTGTGTATGTATACCGGCACAATAACTCTAGAACGAAAGTTTTGATTGACTTGCGGTTTTGATTTTCTTGAACAATTACTTCTAACTTAGAATCCTATTGATTTTCAGAAATGTCGGTTCATCCTAACTACTTTAATATCAATTTTCTTAAAATCACCCTATGCATTTCTTATTTTACGAATTCCAATCATTCCTAAAGTCTAACTTTCCTAACATTCTTAACATTCCATATATTGCAAATATTCTCCAATGACCTGTCAAATAATAGCTGTTGATTGTAAAGGTGAGATTTCTAAGGAGGGTTGCAACCTTCATACTTTCAACCATAGCCATTTTGGAGGCTATTTTTATTCGAAATTAGTCGCCAAGCCTGCCAATTTATGAAAAATATATAAGCAGTTTCTTAAAAATGACTTTTTTAAAGTGGTGCTAACTTAAGCTTACTGCTATTTCGCCCCCAGACACAAAAACACCTTCATGAAATTTACTGGCTCCCTGTCGCAACCCCATAGAATAATTAACCTGCCATTTTATTTGGAAAAAATCAGAATAATGCTTGGCTGTGCCTGTCAAGTATCAAGATGTCAACTGTGATGTGTGAATGGCTCTTAAATGTCAAATTATTTAAAAATATTTGTATGCGTCTTTTGATATTTATTGCACATAATTTGTAGTGTATCTCAATTCAGGGTTTCCATAAATAAAGTTATAGCAAGACAGATAATATAATATTCTTATACAAAGCACTTTTTTATTATATAAAAGAGAGGTAGAATATAATGCTGGTTTATTGTAGATAACTTTAATTGAGGGGTAAAATAATAATAAATTAAGGGAAATACTTAAAAAGAGGTTTAAAGAGTATTATCACAAGAAGGTATATCCGTTCTGTTTATTTATCAAGTATGGTTTAAGGTTACTTTTGAATACATTTATTTTTTTTAATTTCTGTAGGCAGTCTATAAAATTTTTTAAACCTTTAATAAAAATTGTATTTTGGGAACTTTTAGTGATGGCCTACTCTACATGAAAGTCAGATTGGTTTCTTGTATTATAGTTGTGATATTGCGAATTATATTGAATTTTTTCTAAAAGAACTGATGCAATGGTAATATGTCATTTTTATTTTATAAATAAATAGCAGTTATGTACTAAACATAATTCTGAAAAATGGAAGCCAATTTATTTCTTTTAACATAGTTGCTATACTCATCCTTCTGTCTTTTATTAATATTATATAAATAGGCGAAGTAAGGGGCCCAAATATTTTACATGAGCAGGCTTAAGAGGTAAGGGAGCCAATTATTATTGGATAAATTGCTCGAAGTTTGTAAACCCTAATGAAAAGGCGATATAGAATGGTTTTAAAAATCAAGGCTTGTGAAAATCATCACATGGTTTAACCTAAGTAATTCCAATGCTTCATAAACCAAAAAATTCAACGTCCTAATCTACTATTGGCTTTCGGTCTTTTGTTCCAAGTTAAATCATTTCTCGTTTTTTTTACGATACGAGTTTACCCTTGTGGGCCTCAGTCTCAATAAGGTGGGAGCCACCATTTTATCTTTTCTCAAATTTTTATTTATTTTAACATTTCTTGAATAATGACAAATAAAAATGTTTTCTACAGGGTGTTTCCTAATTACTTATATTAAATTTAAGTATATATTCCTGAGCTAATTATATAAAAAAAGTCCATATAAACATTGGTCTGGAAGTGCTTTGTTCTAAACTTTTTTAAAAAAAATCGATTTTATTTAAATGTTATTCAACCTATTTTTTTGATTCTGGGCAGATTTATTTTTAGTGATAAAAGCCTGCTTTAGCCCTAATTAGGTTAAAATTATTAGGTCCAGTGCCGTATGGGGGGATTTCTTTCGAATTATTTTTGTTAAAAAATGTACTCTGCCCAATTTCAAAAAATAGGTTAAATGACATTTATAAAAGTTTAACACCCTGTATCTTTACCCCATGTTTATATGGGCCTTTTTTAAATAAAATTAGCTCAGGAATACACTTAAATTTAATGTACACAATTAGGAAACGCCCATATGTATACAACTTAATGGCGGACGCTTAATATTATATAAAATTAAAAGTAATTGTTACGAAAATCCTTAGAAAAGCACGAAATTATTGTGATATTCAAGTTTTATACATAAACGAAGTAAGTACATAACATTTATTATAATAATAGTCAACAAACTGGTCCAAATCGACCTTTTATTTAGCAAATTCATTGGGAAAGTCTGCACCTATATGTATTATTAGAAAGTACAGCCAAGCATTAAAAAATTATATATCAGAATTAAAATCTTTTAATTCTTTTAATATAATAATAGTTAATAAATATTTACATTCTCATTTATTATATTTCTATATATCTACATATTAGGTCAAATATAACAACCATTATTTGCAGTTCAAAATAAACAATGGGTAATATACAATAATAGATAAGAAAAAAATATGAAATCAAGTGCACGCATTGTCATTGTTACTCTCGATATAGATAAAAATGACAGCTGACAGAGTATAAACAAATGCTAATCGATGCAAATAGAGACCAAACTAAGTTGTAAATACGTTGAACACAATATTAACTGGTTTACATGCTTTGATTTGATTTTGATATAATAATAAAATAATATTGTTCATCTATAAACTTTTACATAACTATAGTTAACAAATACAAATTGAAATAAAATTTTGCATACTCAAAAAATTTCCAATATCTACATGAATTTTGGACGTTTCTTCATACACAGGGTGTCGCTTTCTAACATTTAAAATAGGAAACTATGAAGTTTTACGCAAAGAAGTTACTTACAAAAATGGGTTCAAACTTTCCATACAACCATGGTTAACATCCCTACTTAGTACTATGAAAGATGGTATCAGTGAATTGAATAATAAAAATCCTTCTATAAGATATTTAAAAGTAGCTACATTAAAATCACTCATATCTCTTTTAAAAGCTGGCTCAAGCTTTAGAAATGATAATTAATTGACCAGGTACTTCAATATGAAAAAGCTGAAAAGAATGGTCTTTTAAACAGTAACATTTAATTGATATTTGTGAAAATTGGATCTAATAAAGTTGAGCTTTAGTGACACCAACAGACTGTGTTACTATATTATAAATGCCAAATTCATTAAAAATATGGATGAGCATTTTGATCTCACCGTCGTATTTTATTTAAACAAAACAAAACTAAATACTTCACAAATCCCCAACAAATGAATCATACTGTAAATGCGGCTTAAAGGTGTTACAAGTTTATAATTTATTATTCATTCGATTTAGTTCTGGTCTAATTTCGTCCTCCCCCACTTTGGTCTCGAAAGAACATGTGTTATCCTTGAAACTTAAAGGAAGCTTTCTCCAGTCATCTATCCTACCATCAAGGTGATTCCCCTACTTGAAATGCTCCAAGAAAGGGAAGTGGTTTGGAAGAGAGGTTTAACATGGTAATAGCCAATAACCACGGCATGTCCACCAAAAAGGATATTGAGTTATAA